TTGAATTTTTTTTTTTTTTTTTTTGAGGCGGAGTTGCACTCTTGTTGCCCGGGATGGAGTATTTTTTTTTTTTTTTTTTTCACTCCAGCCTCCACCTCCTAGGTTCAAGCAATTCTTTTTTTTTTTTTTTTTTTGTAGCTGGGATTACAGGCTGCCATCACCACGCCCGGCTTTTTTTTTTTTTTTTTTTGGAGACAGGGTTTCACCATGTTGGCCAGGCTAGCCTTTTTTTTTTTTTTTTTTTTGATCTACCCGCCTTGGCCTCCCAAAGTGCTGGGATTTTTTTTTTTTTTTTTTTTACCTGACCATGCCCAGCTATCTTTTAACAGACTTTTACGTGCATGATACAGTATTGTTAACTATAGGCATAATGCTGTACAGTAGGTCTCTGTTTTTTTTTTTTTTTTTTAACTGGAACTTCATACCTATTTAACAGTAGCAAGTCTGCATTTTCCCTTCCCTCCAACTCCTGGCAGCTACCATTCTCTCTATTTTTGTGTGTTTTTTTTTTTTTTTTTTTATAATCTTCGGTATCTTATATAAGTGGAATCATGCATTTTTTTTTTTTTTTTTTCTTATTTCACGTAACATGACATGCTTCAGATTCTTCATTGTGTTTTGTCACATAAGGCAGATTTTTTTCTTTTAAGGCTGAATAATCCCTACTTTTTTTTTTTTTTTTTTCCATTGTATGTTTGACTAATCTTTTTAAGGTTCCTTCTTTTTTTTTTTTTTTTTTTCACACCTGTAATCCCAGCAGTTTGGGAGGCCGAGGTTTTTTTTTTTTTTTTTTTGGAGATGAAGACCATCCTGGCTAACAGTGAAACTCTTTTTTTTTTTTTTTTTTTTAGAAAAATTAGTCGGGCGTGGTGGCAGGTACCTGTAATCCCAGCTACTGGGAAGGCTGAGGCAGGAGAATGGCGTGAACCCGGGAGGCAGAGTTTTTTTTTTTTTTTTTTCACGCCACTGCACTCCAGCTTGGGTGACTGAGTGATATTTTTTTTTTTTTTTTTTAAAAAGGTCCCTTCCAATTCTAAAATCTGAGTGATCATTTTTTTTTTTTTTTTTTTTTTTTTCCATGCATATGTGATTTTATTTTTCTAAAATTTTTTTTTTTTTTTTTTGGTTTAAACTTGAGAAAATAAGTTTCTCATCATCTGATAATAGTTTAGGTTTAAATCATTTATTGGTTCTTCACAATATCTAAAACCTTTGCTTTTTTTTTTTTTTTTTTTAGTTTTAATTTCCGTATAGGTTTTTTAGAATTTTGTTTTTTTTTTTTTTTTTTTCCTTTTCCAGAAGGGAAGATGCTTACATTTATTTTGCTTTTTTTTTTTTTTTTTTTCCGTGGCAGACCTAAGGTTTATTCTGAAGCATACAGTTTTTTTTTTTTTTTTTTAACTTAACATCATTTTTAAAACTAATTTTTACACTTCTTTTTTTTTTTTTTTTTTATGGGTGGTGATGAGGATGTAGATTTACCAGAAGTAGTTTTTTTTTTTTTTTTTTGTCTAAAAGTTTTTTTCTGTTTACTTTCATACTATTAAGTAGTAAACAACATATTTACAAATGGTTTTATATAGATTCAGGATTACTACTTTTTTTTTTTTTTTTTTTTTCAGTTTTTAAAATGTGCCCATTTTTGAGGAATGGGTATTTTTTTTTTTTTTTTTTTTTGCCGTAGACCATTCCTAAATGGATCACATTTCCATTTTTTTTTTTTTTTTTTACATTATGTAGTAATACCTTACTCAATTATAACAGTCTTTTTTTTTTTTTTTTTTTGGCTCACGTCTGTAATCCCAGCAGGCCGAGGTGGGTTTTTTTTTTTTTTTTTTTAGTTTGAGACCAGCCTGGTCAACATGGTGAAGCCCTGTCTCTACAAAAATTAGCCAGGCATGATGGCAGGTGCCTGTAATCCCAGCTACTGGTTTTTTTTTTTTTTTTTTATCGCTTGAACGAGGGAGGCGGAGGTTGCAGTGAGCCTTTTTTTTTTTTTTTTTTTCTAGCCTGGTCGTCAAAGCAAGGCTCCATCTCAAGGTTTTTTTTTTTTTTTTTTCAGTTTATAGGGATTATTTTGACTAAGAAAGTAAATTTTTTTTTTTTTTTTTTTTGATTGGTCAGAGACCGATGAAACAGATGGATATTGGGTTTTTTTTTTTTTTTTTTCAGAGTTTGAGGCCAGCCTGGCCAAGATAGTGAAACCTTTTTTTTTTTTTTTTTTCAAAAATTAGCTGGGCACGGTAGCGGGTGCCTGTAATTTTTTTTTTTTTTTTTTTTGAGGCAGGAGAATCGCTTGAACCCGGGAGGCGGAGGTTGCAGTGAGCCAAGATCTCGCCACTGCACTCTAGCCTGGGCGACAGAGCAGGACTTTTTTTTTTTTTTTTTTAACAAAACCCAAAACAAAACAGATGGACATTGTAAATTTTTTTTTTTTTTTTTTTGATATAATAAACAACTATTCTCAACATCTTGCCAACCTTTTTTTTTTTTTTTTTTCTCTCAGAAAGTTATTTAATGCTATTTAGAAAAATACTTTTTTTTTTTTTTTTTTCTAGGATTAGAGTTCACTGTCTTCTGTCAATCTATTTTTTTTTTTTTTTTTTTTTGTTTTCTCTTGAATGCTGACATAGGTTAATTTAGGAATTTTTTTTTTTTTTTTTTTAAACTGTCACCAAAAGGCGCACACTATTTTTTACAGTTTTTTTTTTTTTTTTTTGTACATCCATTCAGCTTAGGTTAAACCTAGTCTTAAGTCCAATGACTAAATTTCTAGGCTTGGTATAGCTACCTACCTGTGCTACTTTAGTCTTTTTTTTTTTTTTTTTTACTATTCAGTTAGCAAACAAGTATTTGATCAGTTCGGTTTTTTTTTTTTTTTTTTTTCAGGATTCACAAGACAGTGATGATGAAAGTAAGTGTTTTTTTTTTTTTTTTTTACACAGTGATATTTTGCATCAAAAACCAAACTCAAAATAGAGATGTTAACTACTTTTGAAAAAAAGTAATTTTTTCTTTATGACCTTGAATATTTTTTTTTTTTTTTTTTGTGAATAACTTGAGATAGCAAGACAACCTATTAATTTACTGGGGAACTATATAATTCAATTTTTGGTTGCTTTTCCTTTAAGATATTAAAATTTTTTTTTTTTTTTTTTTTACTTTATACTAATATTTTTTACAATTCTTTCAGAAATTTTTTTTTTTTTTTTTTGAGTATTGTCATCACTTGGATTTTGAGAAAGAAAAATTTTTTTTTTTTTTTTTTTCATAATTGAGAGAATTCCTGAGTTGATAGCTCTAAAGTTTTTTTTTTTTTTTTTTTACTTTAACCCATTTTTCAACCTGTTTGTTTTTTAAATTTTTTTTTTTTTTTTTTATATGTACCATTGTATGGGGCAATTTTAAGTCAGCTATTTTTTTTTTTTTTTTTTTGAACATTTCCCAGACTTTCATGAAGCTGTTGAGGTCTTTTTTTTTTTTTTTTTTTGTTGTGATAAATAGAAACATCTCACCTAAGTCTCCTTTTTTTTTTTTTTTTTTTACTGACATGATAGGAAGCTCTCAGCTTAGGGAAAGATTTTT